AAAAAAAAAGAGAGGAAGAAAAAGGTGAAAAAATAGAAAAAGTCGTCAAGTTGTTAGAAAATAAGTAGTTTATACTACTAAGAGCCTGTTTGGGAGTGATTTTTCTCCCAAAAAAATGATTTTTTGATCGTTATTTTGTTATTCCAGCCGCCATATTTGACTTCTTCTCTCACAGGTGGACCCTACTTTTATCCTAACGGTCTAAAAATCAATCTTCAAAATCACTCCCAAATAGGCTCTAAGCTTGAATCCCTCAATTTCGAAAGATAAGAAATTTATACTGGATAAATTATCAGTTTAAATTCAATTTTATTGAAAGGAAACTATTGAATTAAGTATAATAAGCTGTGTTATTGAGTTAAGCCCCCGTTTGGCCCCCATTACGTGAAAAACTAAAGGGTGGAATAATATTTTTTTTGAAAAATGAGTGATTGAAAATGAAGAATTTTTTTTCTATTTACGTGTAACATTATTTTATGCAAGATTGTGTGGTTAAAAATAGGAGAGAGAAAAATGAAATGTAATGTAATGTAAATTAATGGGGCTCAAACAAGTGCTAAATGAATGAGATATTAGCTTAAATGATTAAATAAACTTTAGAAATGCTTAAATGTGAAAGGATTAAGTTTTGGTATCGCCTATTTAATTATTGAATTTACTTAAAATAGTTAATTTTTAATTTAATTTAAATTTAAAAATTATATCATATTTTAGGTGGCAATATAGATATTGGGATAGCTTACCCACCGAGTTGATTTTGACGTACATAGTTAGGTGATTGGAAAAATTTTAATATTTTTAAAATATTTATAAATTAAGTATATTATTCAAGTATGTGCAATTATATGTTTGATTACATGATTATTATGGAAATCTCTTTTATTATGGAATTTCAAGAATTATTTGTAGTACATTTGTGACTTGGTATGTGAGACCTATGTGATATTGAGATCGACAAAAAAGGTACCCATAATTATATATTTCTTCTAGTTCATTGAGGGGTTTTAGCCGTGTTTTAGAACTGATTATGAGAGGTCTTTGAGATTGGCTTCCGTTCACTGAGAGGGCTTGAGGTCCGTGTCGAGAGTGCATATCCTAAAGGGCAGTCTACGCGCGTATGACTAGCTTATAAATTTCAGTCAAAGAGTATATTTTTGGTGAATTTTTCAGTGCTTTTGATGTGATGAGATTATAGTATGGTTACCAGCTAATATTTATATTATGTTTTTGAGATGATATTTTACGATCTTATGTGAATGTTTCACTTTTTGGCTAAATTATATGATGTTACCTTGTGAAGTATTGAATGATAAGAAACTTGATTTTCGATAAAAATGTATAAATGAAAAGGTATAATTATTTTCGAACTTCTCCACTCACTGAGCTATCAACTCATATATTTTTTCTATTTTTCTTATCAGGCAGCAGTTGAGTATCTAGGCATCTTTTGGAGTTGAGCCATTGATTTTGGAGTTAGAGCCACATGATAGAGTTTACTAGTACGACTCATTTCATAGAGCAAGTAGTCAGTGTTTTGGGACGCATGTTTATGTTCAAATATGATTTTGCATCACTTGTAGATAGTTATGGGGCTCACTCTGTATATTGTATCTATATGTACATTTCATGTTATTATCTTGGGAAAAGTTTGAGATTTCATCTCATTTCTATTGTGTTGTGTTATATTTTGGGATTTCTGTATAATGAATTACAGGTTGGTTAGTCCTATTTACAGGGGAGATAATGTCAAAATTCTGTTAAAAATAAATTATAAAAAGTTACATATTGTAGTTGTAGTAGCCTTCATGGTGAGTTTTCAACTTTTAGTTGGTATCTATCATCGACGCATGCCTTGCTTCGGGTCCAGTAGTGTTTCATGGGGCAGGGTGGGACGTGTCATTAACATTCTAAGTGTAACTCTTAGTAGTTTCTACTTGTTACCTTCATACATTATGATCTTTGTGTTATGATCTTTGTGAGAGTTTAACATTGTACTCATGACCCGATTCATCAATAATATGGTCTTAATATCCAACAGTACAGGAGTCTGCTTATCTTTTAGTTTTAATTCTATATTAGCCTTATGGAGTGGTTGAAGATGGTTGCAGATGATTCCATTTTTTTCATTCGTGCTAAATTATCAGATTGCCAGATGTTTTTCATCTATTATCACATTATCAGTCTGCGTCGGGCCCTTGGGTCACATAAATCATTGATTACTTCGAGTCCGAATGTGTGTAGTGAATAGTGGGTCCTTTTCCAACTGCTTCTTAGACTCCCCTTTGTACAATCCTATGATGTATATCTGGGGATACTCCTAACTATAAGCTTGAATAAGAGTCGAAAACATTTTTCACAATGAAGAGCAGATATGCAAGAGGGTCAATGTGTGGGGCTAGAATCTATTTTTCGGCTGGGAAATTGTGATTAAGGCTATGTTGCAAGCAATCCCTAGGTATATGATTTGTTAGTTCACGTTGTCAACTTTGATTTGCCGAAAGTTTAGCTTGCTGGTTTTGCAGTTTTGGTGGCGATCAATTGAGGGAAGGAGGAAGATGGCTTGGGAAGTTCTAAGGCAGGGGATGAGATGTTTCCTTCAAATAACATGGTTCTCTTGAATGTGGTTAAGAAAAATTGACTATTAATTGCAACATCTCTATATCTATAAACAAAAATAATTTGGCCAGAATAAGAAAGATACGCTAATGTTCTCTTAGATTGACAATGTTCAATTAAAGTAAAAAAGAGAAGAATACGAAATAAGAAAATAAAGGTTTCGTTGTGTCCGAAAGCTGACAATACAGTTATTTTCTTCTCCTTCTGTTGCACTAGTAAATAGATGCTAATGTACATATTCTTGAAAGACTTAAAATTGATCTTATTTCTTCTTCAGCTAATAACTATACACAATCTACTTCCACCTTCTACCATCTTTTTATTCTATAAACATGATAAACAAATTCGATAAACCATTTAGGTTTTTCATATTTAAAAATTAAATATCCTGTAACCAATCCAAATAACATTCCGCATCCATACCCCATGAGGACAACTTGCCAGGTGAATCCGTCTAAGATACTGAAATCATCTTTCATCTGTGCTGTCGATGCTAGAAGCTTCGGTTGTGGTTCATCATTTCCACACATCATTGTCAATGGCAATCCACATAATTCTAGGTTGCCAATATATGAAGTGTTAGGAAATGTAAGAAGTTGCCCTTGCTTAGGTATTGGACCAACAAGATGGTTGTAAGAAATGTTAAAGGATGATAGAGTTGTCAACTTCGTCAATTGCCAAGGAATATCTCCTGTTAGTTGATTTGAACTAAGGTCCAATGATTCGAGTGAAGTAAAATTTTCTAATGATGGGATATGACCTGTGAAACTATTATTAGCCAAGTTTAGAGCATGTAGGGCCTTGAGCTTTCCAATAGAGCTTGGAATATCTCCTTGAAATTTGTTGTTTGATAGATCGATTCTTGTATAAGGTCTTCGGATTTTCCACAGCTCATACGGGCACCCCTTTAGCAAAACAGTCGATAGAGAACTAGAGTATAAGTATTTGTCGCCAATTTCATTTTCACTCACATTCATCATGGCTCTGAAATTCTCTAAAAATTCAATTGGGAGAACTCCAGTGAATTCATTATAGGACATGTCAAGAATTCGCAGATTAGGAAATGGAAGCTTCATTTTTGAAGCAGGAATTATACCATGGAATCTATTAGACTTCAACACAAGAATTTGAAGCTTTGGAAGAGTTTCCATCCAAAAAGGGAATGGGCCAATTATGTCATTGTTTCCAATATCTAGTTCTTCAAGCATCCTACAATTTACCAATGTGCATGGTAATGTTCCATTCATTTGATTTCCATTTATGTCAAAATGTCATAGCCTGCATCCCTTGGTAAATATTTGGGAAATGTTGCCCTGAAAGTGATTCTTCTTCAAATTCAAAATACTCAATCTTTTATTGAGTTTGGAGATGGTTTTGGGCAACTGCCCACTCAGTTGATTCATACTAAGATCTAGAGTAGAGAGTGACTTCAAATCTCCAACCTTAGGTGAAATCATACCTATGAGATTGTTGGAGGAAATATTCAGCCCATTAAGTTCTATTAGATTCCAGATTGTTGGAGGTATTTGACCTGAAAATAAGTTGACTGAAAGATCTAGGATGGATAAATTTC